ATGTCTTTCTCATACTTAGTCTTATTATACCAAGTAAGAGCAGATCCTTTAAGGAAGGATGGTACCAGAGTTAAACGTCATCGGTCAGAGATGCTATTAGCTTCGCAAGCATTATTATACCTATCGAGCCAGTCTTGGGAATCCTGGTCTCCGCCTTTGAAGGAAGGAAGGTCTACAAATTTGCCTTCACGTTGTCCTCCAAATCCAACAGATTTAAAAACGGTTTGCAATCCTTTCATCATTTTAAGCAAGTTTACATCATCCTGTTCAGTTACATTAGTATCGTCAAATGGATCGTCATTCTCACTGTCGTTAGCATTAACATTAGAGCTAGAATTATCTGACTCAGAGCTAGAAGAAGAAGAAGAACTATCATAATAAGATGAAGAATGACGTTTTCTTTGTTTACGAGTTTTCTCAAATTTGGATCTTTTGTTCCTATCCCGTTTCTCAGAGCATTTAGTTCCTGACTTTGACGAACGTGATGAATTCTTATTTTTACGGCTAGAATCCTTTCCTTTTTCTTCATCTTCGTCAGAGGATGGTGCAAAAGATAATTTAGGTGGTTTATCTGTTCCCCTATAAGAGCTAAAAGCAGAGCTATCGAAGGTCGAAGTTTGTTTACTAGGGTCCCTTCCGCTTGGAGTAGTACTTGCGATGATAGTTTCTTCAGGAGGAGGATAAATGCCTTGAAGAAGCTGATTTTCTTTTGCTGATTTAGACGCAGTACTGTTTTTGCGAGTTATTGAGGGTTTAATAGTTTCAGTAGTTGATCCTTTTGGTTTTCCCATATCTGCTATAGTCAAAGTTCTTGGCGAGGGTGAAGATGGTGCACTTGGTGTAGGTGTCTCAAAATATTCAGAAATACGACTTCCTGGATCCTTATTAAATGCTAAAGTTTGACGGTGGGTCTGAACGGTTAATTGTACAGCTTTATCGAGAGTATAATTAGGAAGTGTATTATAAGTAAGAGAATATAATACGTGTCGATAATTGAGTGCTTGTAATTCTAAATTTATCGTAGAATTTGCTATATCAAATTCAGTAATGGTTTTGCTAGTATATTGTCGAGCTCCGAGTATAAGACGAGCCCACTTAAGAAAAACACGAAAGATAAGAGATTGCTTAGAAGGAAGAGGTGCCGGATAACAAATGATACAAGAAGGGTCGTCTAAAAGTATAATCCTTCTTTGTTTTTGTCGTTCTCTGGTCAGATGCTGCGATTGGTGGTTTTGTTGATGTTCAAACAAGTCTTCAAATGTATTCATATAGTATCCTCTTCATAGGGTATTACTACGCAATTAGGAAAAGAAGGTCCTGTCGTCGTCGCCAAATGTTAACGTGC